GTCACATTTTCGGCAGCGAATCGAAATTTGCTGCAGAACACACAATTCTGCAGCGAATGCTGATTCGCTGCAGAAGACTCGGTTTCGGCAGCGAATGCTAATTCGCTGCGACCGACACATTTTTGGCAGCAAATTGAAATTTCGCTGCAAAACACCCAATTCGGCAGCAAATTCTAATTCGCTGCAGCTGACTCAATTTCGGCAGCGAATACTTATTCGCTGCAGCTGTCACATTTTCGGCAGCGAATCGAAATTTGCTGCAGAACACATAATTCTGCAGCGAATGCTGATTCGCTGCAGAAGACTCGGTTTCGGCAGCCAATGCTAATTCGCTGCGGCCAATACAGTTTCGGCAACGAATTGAAATTTCGCTGCAGAAGACACACATTGAAAACCATCAATTACAGCATATATCTTTCAATCATTCCAGCAGAATACACACATTGAAACTATCCATTCTAGCACATAATCGTTCAACCAATCCCAGCAAAACACACATATTGCATACCGGCCAACCCTATAGTTAAAGTCGGCCCCCTACTATGATTTGTTGTTTCTATTTTATTCATTTTTCTTTACTAGATGTTCTAAAATTGGCCTCATTTCATTTCTGTTTTCTTTGTCCTCTTAGTAAATTTCTGTTTTCTTCACAGCTAGCTAAGGTCATAGTTCAATTTTCTTAGGGTTTTTCTTCTTCATTTCCGGTTCTAAATCTTAAGGAGAAGAGGAAGGAAGTTTCATGACCCATACCTTACGAATCTAGCTAGGTTTGAGGAAGGTTTGACAGTGTTCTTCCTCCTCTCCTGCTGGTTTTCTTCCTTCTTCTTCCTCTCACGTTGGTTCCCTTCTCCTCTCTCTCTAGGTGGCTGTCCAATCTTCTCTCAAGGTCTCCTCTCTCTCCCTCACACGTTCACAAGGCTTAGGTTTCTGTTGGGGAGGAGAAAGGGAGAGTAACAAGCAGCTGGACATACAGCTGCAGCAACTTTGATAAAAGCTAGGGTTACCTTCTCTCTCTCCTCCTTATATTTATACTCCCCATTAAATGAGGTGGGTGTTTGGGGGTTGGTTTAGATGTGTTCTTATCCTTGTTTTGATCTATCTAAAACCAGTTTTACCCCTCCCTCTCAACTCCTTAAGAAAATTATTATTATTTTATTTTTTTAATACAAAAACTGCATCGCTGCCGATGCAGAAATCGGCAGCGGAAACTGCATCGCTGCCGATGCAGAAATCGGCAGCGAAAACTACTTGGCTGTAGATGCAGAAATCGGCAGCGGAAACTGCATCGCTGCCGATGCAGAAATCGGCAGCGAAAACTACTTGGCTGTAGATGCAGAAATCGGCAGCGGAAACTGCATCGCTGCCGATGCAGAAATCGGCAGCGAAAACTACTTGGCTGTAGATGCAGAAATCGGCAGCGGAAACTGCGTCGCTGCAGATGCAGAAATCGGCAGCGGAAACTGTGTCACTGCCGATCGAGAAATCGGCAGCGAAAACTGCTTCGCTGCAGATGCAGAAATCGGCAGCGGAACTGCGTCGCTGACGATGCAGAAATCAGCAGCGGAAACTACGTCGCTGACAATGCAGAAATCGGCAGCGGAAACTATGTCACTGCCGATCGAGAAATCGGCAGCGAAAACTGCTTCGCTGCAGATGCAGAAATCGGCAGCGGAACTGCGTCGCTGACGATGCAGAAATCAGCAGCGGAAACTACGTCGCTGACAATGCAGAAATCGGCAGCGGAAACTATGTCACTGCCGATCGAGAAATCGGCAGCGAAAACTGCTTCGCTGCAGATGCAGAAATCGGCAGCGGAACTGCGTCGCTGACGATGCAGAAATCAGCAGCGGAAACTACGTCGCTGACAATGCAGAAATCGGCAGCGGAAACTATGTCACTGCCGATCGAGAAATCGGCAGCGAAAACTGCGTCGCTGCAGATGCAGAAATCGGCATCAGAAACTGCGTCACTGTCGATGCAGAAATCGGCAGCGAAAACTGCTTCGCTGCAGATGCAGAAATCGGCAGCGAAAACTGCGTCGCTGCAGATGCAGAAATCGGCATCAGAAACTGCGTCACTGTCGATGCAGAAATCGGCAGCGAAAACTGCTTCGCTGCAGATGCAGAAATCGGCAGCGGAAACTGCGTCGCTGACAATGCAGAAATCGACAGCGGAAACTGTGTCGCTGCAGATGTAGAAATCGGCAGCGGAAACTGTGTCACTGCCGATCGAGAAATCGGCAACGAAAACTGCTTCGCTGTAGATGCAGAAATCGGCAGCAGAAACTGCGTCGCTGCCGATCAAGAAATCGGCAGCGAAAGCTGCTTCATCAGTTCTGTCTATATATATATATTTTTCTTTTGGGTGTTTACATAGCACTTGACCAAGATGATTTGCTGATGCTAAAAACTCCTTTTCTTTCCCAGGACTAGATCCACTGAAAACACAAATATTTCTTATATGATGACTTAAGGAACTTGCCATTTCTACACACTTCTATATTTGTTGAATGTATGGGTTGAGTAGAAATGAAAGAAAGGAAGAGAGGGTTTTATAGATGAGAAATTAGAAAGGCAATCATAACACCTATATGTAGGCCAGCTGGAGTCTCACACACTCTCTCTCTCTCTCTCT